AGACAGCTGCTATATACAACAACATTGGTGGAGCAGTTCTACACGCTAGAGACAGCTGCTATAAACAACAACATTGGTGGAGCAGTTCTACACGCTAGAGACTGCTGCTATAAACAACAACATTGGTGGAGCAGTTCTACACACTAGAGACAGCTGCTATAAACAACAACATTGGTCAGGCAGTTCTATAACCCAGTATAATCAAGATATAGGAGACAACATTGGTATACCGGTATAATAAAGATAGGAGACAGCTGCTATAACCCAGTATAATCAAGATATAGGAGACAGTTACTGTATATCCTGCTATAAACAATAATAAATTGGTGGAGCAGTTAGACTAGAGACAGCTGCTATAACCCAGTATAATCAAGATATAGCCGACAGACTTCAATATCCCGGTATAATAAAGATATAGGAGACAGCCTACTGTATCCCGGTATAATCAAGATATAGCCGACAGACTTCTATATCCCGGTATAATAAAGATATAGGAGACAGCCTACAATATCCCAATATTATAAAGATATACGTTACAGCCTCTCTATCGGAAAGAATACTAGACCAACCTAGCCTTGATGTCTTTCTATTGATCAGAGACATAGTTAAAATGGGTCCTTGTGTAATGTGATCTATTTTCGCTACTCGTATTGTATACCACTGCTGGTCCGATTATACAAAAAATTGTTTTCGAAGTCAATGGAGTTTTTTTCTAAATATATATATGATGTTAATGATATGTCATTGTTATTATCATTTTTAACGAAAATGAGCTCCACTTTTCAAGTACCGTCAGATTGGTTCTGGTCAGGACGGTCATTACTTATTCAACACTATCTTTTTATTAGAAGTGAATTGGGACAGGTAAATAGCAACTGTCATGGGGATTTGATAACTTCATGGCTTAGTGAACAAACGCAGAATATAACACCATATAAGCCTCTTCTTGAGCTTGTTTTCAGTCTAGTCATTGTACATCAGAATATCGGAAATCGAACGTCCATGTTCGCGATAGATAATGATTTGGTGGCGGGATCTAAGGCATGTTTTAACATCATTTGCATACATCACGGAAATATTTGTATACTTCATCAATTGTGAACATAGTCAGTTTCCGGAAATGGTACGACCTGCATTCTGTGTTATCAGAGATGTAGCAATGATCAGAGTTAAACATAAGTGCAATATAAGTTTTATCGAAAAAAAACCCCAATATCTTCATTGTGTTAACCATGTTTTCCCGTCCATATCAATATCTATTTAAAAAATAACAATATTTCCTTTGTGAAAAAAAAATTCCGTCCTTGTAAAGTACTTTATATTGAATGATCGGAAATATAACAATGACCAGAGTGTTTCATATACTTTATGACGATGCAAATCCTAAAACAGAAATACGGTTTAAGAAGTAATCACTTGATCAGGTGAGCGTTTAGACCCATATATTATATTGAAACATAACATAACAAAGGTTTAAATAAATGTCGCTCTCGACAAAGTCGACAATAAAATGATTTAACACCGTTTGTTGAATACGTGTATATTTTTATTTATTAATAAGCAGTATACCCTAAAAACTCGAATTTAAGACGCGACTTATTATTTGATAGTACAAAATGTCGGTTTATTCATGTAAGGAGAGCTTTCAGGATAGGTTTGTTTTTCAGCACAGCTTTGGTTCTTATATAAGGGCATTTAGATACAAAAATGTAGCAATATTGATAATAACCGTTTATCTAGGTGACCGTAGGATTACATACATAATCAAGACGGTTTAGAAATGAACAGATCCGAAAGATACAAAAACATGGATATTGCTGAGTTACTTTTTCCCAGATAAGATCTAGGTTATTTGGCACTTTGTCGTACACCTGTCAATCTTACGCAAAATACAGACTGATGGAATAAAGTTTTCATCGGACGATATCTACCTATTTGTCTTAGCTGTAAGAATGTACAGGAGGTATAAAGCTGGTCGCCTTGTTTGAGTTTACAATTTTGTGCAATTCATTACATATATGCTGCATTAGTGATATAAGTTTTATGGTGGAAATAGGTTTTAAATTTTAACTATCCAAATCATTTCCACTCTTAACCCTTTGGTAGAAAATTGAGATCAGAATCTAGGCTAAATATGGATTCTAACAAAAATTAACTATACAGAAGTAGGGAATCAAATCCGACATACCTTAGATACTTCATTCGTTCACAGAGTGTATACTGGGGAAGATACACGATGTAAATTGATAGCGATAATGAGGCTGGGAGATCTAGAAGATTTAGCTCCCTTTGTTCAGTTTGGACATTTTCGTTCATTTATTTATTTCATTTCTTTGTACGCTTCTGTCTCCATTCAAAGCTTATTGAAAACACGTACCCGAAACGTTCCTATCATAACAGAAAAATCTATTTCTAGTCTCATTTGTGTTATTGTTAGATATACATACGTTGAATACATGTTAGTGTAATTTATCCACTTTGTTGTGAAATTAAACAGTAATCGATATCGTAAAACCACGAGGTTCCCCAGCAATCTTTAGTACTTTTAGTATTTGCAATACAAAATATAAAACTCAATGTGTATTATTACAAATGTATCAACGTCTTATTCAATACTGTACGAGATTTGTTAGGAAGTTGCTTTTCGACCAAAATGTTACTGAATCGCTTTGTAACCGGAATGTTAGTATATATATATATATATGGTTTAATCAGGTAATGGTCGGATAGGCAGGAGATGTGCAGGAAGATGTTAGGACAGCAGGTTACTTGTTGTATTCACTACATTGAGTATAACATTTTATGATAAGGAAGGAGGGAGCATTGATGAGATTACAGGTGTTACTAAGATGTCTGTTGTAAATATCGTCATTTCCAATGATCGACGACTGTTTGTATTTAACAAAAGTGAAAAGCTTATTTGGGTACTATTAGATCACTACTGACATTTACAGCTGATGTACATTTGCTTTCAGATAATAAATACTGTTTATAGTTTCTTGTTAGTAGCCTTGACATAACAAAAAACATCAAGAACATATCAACATGTCAACGAGTCCACAATATCTCAGATTTCTTCGATGTAATCATTTCTGAACTGGCGGAAGTGGAGGATTGAATTTCGTGTTGGTTTTGTAAGGTTCATTCGGCATCGTTACAGACACGCACTTATCTCTGTTTTCAAATAAGAATCACTTTTCTAATGATATGATAAACTCTTCAAAACACAATGACCGTCAATATCGTCTCGTCTAAATACCTTGACTCCTTAGGATTGTTAAATATATATTCAATGTCATAGCTTTGGCTTTATAACATTGTAAATTTCTTTACCCGGTGTTACATTAACGTTTGTGATTAAAGACGTTATGTTACTTATTTCCGTTATTCCCTAGGAGGCAAAAATGATGTTTGTCGCAAAATTATATTTCATGGACTCAACCACAAACTTTGCATAAATCTCTCAAATTGTCCTCCCAACAAATATACCTCATATCTCAATAAACAACCGTCATTTATGTATCATAAATAATCATCATCACTCATTAAACATACATCACCTATTTTAAGAGCGAAAGAGGCTCTAAAGACTTTTAAAAGTCTGTAATAGTTCAAGTGTCAATGCCTACTGGGACCAGAAATTGAATTTTTAGCCTTTTATCATGACAACTGATCAAAATACCAATAAATATTCCTTTACTGGAACTCAAGTTATTATGTTTTCAAGTTTGAGTCATTCACCATATCGTGGTTAAAAACACTTATCTGCATAATATTGATTGAAACTCCATGTAATTCATCTAATATAAAAAAGCTAGTGTGCATAGCTTATGAGATTGTAAAGAGGTAGAAATGCATTTTCAAGAATGAGAAGGTTTATTTTTAGAATAATTTCACACCGACTAAAATCCGTTAATAATGATTTTTTGATTATCATAAAACATTATATATATGTATAACTGGGTGCCATAGCAACGCTCTGAATCTCTTTTTCAAATATATATAGATGACATTGAAATGAACATATTACAAAGTCAATTGACCAAATAACAAAGAAGACTATATTAGATCTATAGACGATTACTGTAATTATGAACGCTTAACTCCATTGATATTATTTTCAATTCTGATATTTCACAATTATGTTAAGTAACAATTGTTTTGCCGACTCATTTGATTATTTATCGTTTGTTAGATATGTACATAGGTCATTAATGATAATGGTAATGATGACGACGACGACAACAACGATGATAGCACGGCTCAGATGCTATATTGACATGATGATAATGGCGATGATGATGATGATGATGATGATGATGATGATGATGATGGCATGACGATGGCATGATGATAGTAGTGAAGTGATGTGATGGTGATGATGATGATAGCATAATGATGGTTGTGGAAATTATCATTATGTTCTTCTATGAGATATACATAGCTCGATTTTGTACTCAATATACGACATCATACTGAAAATATATTACGGAAACGTACCAATTAAGTTGTCGGATTACACAGAGAGGAGACAGTAACTGACGCAATTCGACGTCCCATTTTTTCACTGAATCTTGTTAATGGTCTTGTCTCAAACACTAGCAAACTTCAGTAATCTACAATGCAGTGTATGTAACACATGGTATATCCAGATATATAAGTATACTTTGTTTTGTGCACTTCGTACATTCCTTGACTTATGCACATAGCTTGTGCATCACTAAACCGTTAAATATAATTTCATTCACACAAGTGTGACATATATTTAATAGTTTTATAGTATTTTGTTTAGTTTTTATTATTTTTTTTTATTATTTTTGCAATTCGCAATGTCTTTCGCCCTCCACTTGCTTCGAATTTTGCCAATGACATTGTAATTGCCGAGAGAATGATGGCATTGTCCAAAACACCTAACAAACTTCAAACTCTTATTGAGGCAGAAGGGTTAGCAAGGAAGCGGTCTATTTGTGTTATCAGAACCAGAGTTGAGAGATCTTACCATGGGGGTATATCAGCTGAAACAGGCAAAATCCTACATCAAAGAGCACTTAGCTGAAGATGGTCAGTATGAACTTATGCTATGCAGGGAGAAACCTGACTTGATCAAAGTTCAGGTTCGTTCACAACATGTTGCTTCGAAGGTGTACAATCTTTGGATTGAATATTCTAATGGACTGACCCCAATATCAGGCTGGTATTGTCAATGTAAGGTTGGTGCCAGAGTAGTCGGCTGCTGTGCTCACATTGCATCTGTCCTATGGTATCTTTCGTATGACTGACACCAGTCTGATACTGCACAAACAACTGCTTCCTCAAGTTTCCTTAGTTGTGTTGATGACGCAATGACGGCGGAGAACTGGTCAGACTGTGACAGCGACAGTGACTCCTAAATGAGTATCCAAACACCACCATTCCTCTTACTAAAGCAGTTAACCAAAATACAATCCCGTAAGTAATAGACAAAGGTCATTTATGATCATGTGAAACCTGGTGCTAAATCGATTTTTTTCCATTTTAATATCATCCATATTTGCAAAAATATTTCAAATAAATACACTGCACGTGATAAACGTATTGTTTATAGATGCATTAAGACAAAAAACGGTGCTTAAGTGTGACTTAATTAGTAATTAGGGCACTTAATCACCGTTACCTACTTTTCAACAAAGGCATATTTTTTGGTCATTCTAATGAAAGTTTTATAATGTATCATCAAATGACATTTAAGAGGAAAAAACTAAGAAAAAAAATAGTTTGATAATTATTGCAATAATTATGAATTTGATCCCCCACTCGTCCCCACTATAACAACTGAAAAGCCTTGAGCTGACCTTAGATTAATGTCATGTCATTACCGCCTGACCTCAAGTTTTTAATAGACAAAACATAAAAAGTATTCGTGATGGCCACCAGAAGGCCCAAACTGGCACTCCTTTAAACGGTCGACCAAAAGAGGACATCCGGTACACAAGTGTCCAAGTAATTCTAACCCCTGACTAATGCTTGACAGGAAGAAATGTTCATCACCACATATACAGTCAAATAAAGTATATAAAGTAAAATCATAGTTATGATATTAACAATCTAGTATAAAGATGAAAGGTCTTCAATTACATGATAATATGATATAGTTTTAATGGGTAAAAAATTTGTTAACAAAGAATTATCAAAGGTTTTATAACAAAGCTTGATGGAGGTATCTGGTTTTATATAGTTAATCAGCTGTTTGATACACACACACACACACACACACACATATTTATTTAAACCATTAATTTTTTCCTTTCGCTTGGTCTTAATTCGCCCCTATATTCAACATCCAACTTTAGCTAAAGTAAAAATTTAGCATATTCACAAAAGGAAATAATGGACAATTGTCCAAATGCAATGATTTGTTTCTGTACACATATATGAATATTAATATAAAACCACAAGTTTTATGTATATCAACCGTTCGTGGATAGTGTACTGTTTAGTGAAAACGTATGGCAAATTCAATTTTCCATGAAGCAAGATTGGTTGTGCTGTTTTCAATTCTATAAAATCAACAGAATATTACTTCAATTTTATGTATACTGTTTAGTGGTGATGAAGCAGGTCTTTTAATCAGTCTTTTACACATAGCCTTAAATAATCCGATGAAAATTAATGTTCAATACAGTCTAATTCAAAATTCAAGATTCATACAGAAAACATATTATACTGATGATGAGGTATACTGACACTCATTATATACTGATGATGTAGTATACTGACACTCATTATATATTGATGATAAGGTATACTGACACTCATTATATACTGATGACAAGGTATACTGACACTCATCATGACAATATACTGGTATACTGACACTCATTATATACTGATGACAAGGTATACTGATTATATACTGATGACAAGGTATACTGACAATCATTATATACTGATGGTGAGATATACTGACACTCATTATATACTGATGATGAGGTATACTGACACTTATTATATACTGACGATGAGGTATACTGAAACTTATTATATACTGATAATGAGGTATACTGACACTAAATATATTGACACTCATTTTATACTGATAATGAGGTATACTGACACTAGATATATTGACGCTCATTATATACTGATGATGCGGTATACTGACACTCATTATATACTGATGATGAGGTATACTGACACTCATTATATACTGATGATGCGGTATACTGACACTAAATATATTGATACCATTTTATACTGGTGATTAGGAGGTCAACTGACAATGATTACTGTTAGGTTATCCATCATTTTATCTTAATGATAATAGTCTAAGAATGTGAAGGTATTTTTACTATAAACAGTGATAAAATCATAAACGTCGTTTTGTAGATTGCACCGTCACTCGTATTAGTTACGTTTGATAGCAGCAATGATGCAGATATGTATAAGACGTTTATGAATTTACATTTTGTTTGTTTTACAGTGTGATAAATTATATAAAAGTGTCTAACAAGTGGTCACAAGGTTATTTCGGCTGACTAACACATACTAATGTATGTTTATATATTGTTTTATGAATCACTCGTTCGAGTTGTAAACTGAAGCGATTATCCCTTGAAAACGAAATGAATGTCGATGTGCGCAATTATATCTTTTTTATTATTGTAATTAAAATCTTTACAATACCGATCCCTTTCCATTCCAAATACTGAACCGCTTTTATGTCGGAAATGATTAAAATAATCTGAAGTTTGACCGATCAAGACCAGGTGTCCGACAAGTCGTGAGCTCTGTGCCTCGGCCGCACACGTACCCAGACTTGTACAGATACCTACCCTGATCGGGTTGAGTTTAGTTAACAATGTACAACATTATCACAACTGATACTATGAAACCATATAGAATAAATCAAGCGTGTCATTGATCAGAGTGAGGGGCTAGCAAAAGTAAAAATTGTATTAATGTAGAGCTGCTAGAAAGACGTGAATTGTTCATAACACGTACAAATACGGAAAATCGGAATGGAGTGTTGTTTATACAATTGATTGCGTTATGCTGATGATCTAACCAAATATTAACAGAGCAATACGAAGTTTTTGTTTCTTCTTTTTCTGTTGTGAAGTCAAGAATTGCAGAAAAGTATCGGTTTTATTCATCGTTATATTTTTACTGCATAACATTTTTTTTTGTACTGAGTTAGAAATGGGCACTGTTAATATTCTGTACATAAACAAAATCGGATCGATCATATCCGGGTCGGGATTCTTCAACTATTTGACTTTTGGATACCGAATTATCTCTAAACCGAATGAAACGACTAGATGATGAAGTACCATTGATACGGTAAAATGCAAAAAGCACGTGTTTTTGGTGGTGTTTTGCGACAGTGATTCAATCGGGTTTCCCACCAAAGTTCATCCTTTTCAAAGAGTAAGTTTAAACTATATTTAATTCTAATTAAGTGATGTTTCATCATTCAGTTCAAAGATTAACTGCTAATGATGAGGTCAAAATGTAGAAAAAAGTAAAAGATTCTGATGAGTTTATTTTAATGCACAGGTTGGAGCAAAGAGGGATTTAACCCATAGGTCCATTTGTTATCTTTATAGAAATAGAGAAATAGAGAATTAGAGAAAATGTACTTGTGTATACATCAATGTATATGATTTATAATTTTCGTAACGAAATATTTCTATTGAAGGCCATCAGCTATCAATGTATCTGTAACATAGTGTCATCTTCAAAAACTTTAAAGTGCGTTGTGATTAGATATAGAAAGTTCACTCATACGACATTAGCGAGTTCAATTTCATTGCCGGAAATCATATTGTATAAATTCTCGAAACTGTTATCTGGTGAATATGAAATATTTTTAATCATATACCGGTATGTGCATACGAACTACTTGGTTATCGAGCAATCTATTTCTTTTTTATGCTTGATATGTAATAATGTCTATAGAAATTGGTCAGTTTATTGGGCGCCTTATCTCCTGGAATAATAAAATACGTGCCCTGTAAATATTGAAGTGTGGAATACTGTGAAGGAAATTAATAATATTACCTGTTCGATTATGAACTGGGCTGTTTGTGTCATCTCGAAAGTGTCTTGCGTCAAGGAACTGCAAGTTTGTATGATAGGTTTTGTGATAATCAGATCAAATAGTTACACAATTTCATCCCATTGTAAAAGAATTAAACAAAAATAAAATAATGATTATTATTGCTGATAATAAAAAATAACACGAGGTGAATCGCCAATTACTCGGGTAAATTATTATTTAGAGATAGCGGTAAACATATGCTTGATCACACGCCCATTATTGAGTATGGATATTTAGCCCCGTCATTCCGTTTGTGCTATTTGGTTTTGAAACTGACAAGTGTCCTACATCTTATTCGTTAGAAATTTTAGTTTTACTTAACATAGTTGACAATATTTGATAACATAGAGAGCAAGCAAGATATAATAGTATAACTCTGAAACTAAAACACATTACTTTGCAGATCCACTAGCAGCACGGTCCATTTGGATGTCTCCATCTGGTACGATAACAGTTATCAGTGGAACGTCACAAAGCCTTGAATGTCAGGTGAAAGGAGGTAACCCACTTGTTACACTGACCTGGCGGTGTAAAGGGTCGGAAGTGGTCGGAGTGAATCTGAGCAAGGACAGTTTGTCAGCGTCTAGGCTAATCGTTCCAGTGGATCAAACCTACAATGGAAAAGAATGTGTATGTACCGCTACAAATTCTACAACAACGATCGGGGAAAAGACTGTAGTGTTTGATGTGATATGTAAGTACCAGCTTCATTGTTTTACTTCTTACCACACTCGACTCGACACTTAACTTGGATCCATGACGAAAAGGACGCAAACCCATACCTTTACAAAGATTAGATTTTCCACTGTAACTATAACATTTTCCATGATATATATATATATATATATTGAAAATGTGGTGAATTATCCATGCCTAATAAATATAGATAAAGTTAAAACACTGGAAAACACATGATATATATATGATGAGAGAATGCAAATTTTAAACATATACCTCATTCTATTAATGTACCAATGTTGATCTATAAGAAATTATAGGTTAACATGTCGCACACTGGTGAAAAACATCATAAATAGCATACGTATATAACGTTTGATATTTCTAAGATAAACAGCATTAGTGACAACGAGTTTAATGTTCTAATCAAGCGTTATAAAATGATGCGAAAATCAATTTCTTGTGTTGTCAATTTTCCATTTCTGGATATTAACATTCCTGCATCTCCAATTTTATTGGTGTTTTCATGTCACAGTTGATTTGATCTTCAAGAACCTGTTCCTATTATTACAATTTTCGTGTACGAAACTGTCAACTTGCGGAAAATTGGTATCACAAGGTTTCAAAATATGCAGATTGATGGAAGTTTCAAGGCTGTCGTGGTTATCTCATTGCGAAACATTCTTATTATTTGAAGCGATATGAATCAATTGTTGGTTTCTTTGATATATGCCTTATTTGAGAACCAGACATTACTTACTGAAGTGACCAAGATTCACAGGGCGGGTGTCGTTGACGAAGCGTTGGTACCTTGAATACAGGTGATACAATTACACGTTTTGTCAGTAGGAATGCTTTTATATTCATGTCAATGATACAGGTTATATTGTTCATTGAGTTCTTGAAAACAAACTGAAAAGTAAACTATGTAGTATATAGGTATATCGTGCGTAATATGTAAATACATGCAATTAAATATTGATACAACAATTAATTATTTTTCAGATGCTCCTACAGACAAATTGATGATGTCACCATCTGGTAACAAGGACATTGGTGCCGGTGACTCAGTGACACTAGATTGCCATGTAAGGGGAGGCAATCCCATCGCCACACTGACCTGGCGGTGTAAAGGAGCATTACGTACCGGGAAGAATCTGACATCTACTGACACTGCTCGATCTACCTTGACAGTTACAGTGGATAAAACCTACAACGGACATATGTGTGCATGTATTGCCACACAACAGACCAATCCTGGCAGAGAGATTGGTAGAAAAACTGTTGAGTTTAATGTAATTTGTAAGTACCGAATATTTTACAGCCTGACTAGAATGGCATGTGATACAAAAAGTATGAACTGCATATTAATTAGTTTTAAACAGATAGACCATATGTACTATATGCTTCTAAATTTACAACCTATGAATACAGTATGAAAAACTAACCTCGGCCTCCGACCGCACTCAATATTTGGTGAAATAAATTAAAATTTCTTAATTTTTCATAAAAGGTTGCCGATGCTTTTTCAGCTGTCTTCTTCGTCTGATATAGTCCACAAAGCTCTCACTAACAAGCGATCCTAGGCTCAACATTCTTACTGAGCATTTCATAATTGAAACCATTATATAATATAGTTTATATATCGGCCTTCCCTGGCTACAGGTAGTAATGACGAAATCATTATTTTTCCAAGTGTCTCTGGAATTACAATGATTGCATTTTCAATGGAGAGTGACATGATATATTTTTCTATCTATACCTTACCCCTACGTAGCCGGTCAATCATGAATGACCATTTACTGGGTTGTTTTTCTGCTGACCACATTGTTGATTAATTCCCATACTTTCATGTATTTTTGACAGATTTTTTATCATGATATAATCATGTGAATAATGAACCTTTGTTATTTCCTAGGCACTTTTTTTTCTTTTTCTGACCTTTCCTCTGTCTTTTCTTATCTATAAATAACTTATTTGTACTCTTTCTCTGAATTAGTTGAAATATTGAAATCATGTTTCTGCTTTGCCTTTTTGACATGGATAAAAGTAATCATATATATATATATATATGTTAAGAGAATGCAACGTTTTTTAAAACATATACCACATTCTATTATTGTTTTATGTACCAATGTTGATCAATAAGGAAATTATATGTTAACATTTCGCACACTGGTGAAAAACATCATAAATAGCATACGTATATAACGTTTGATATTTCTAAGATAAACATCATTAGTGACAACGAGTTTAATGTTCTAATCAAGCGTTATAAAAGGATGCGAAAATCAATTTCTTGTGTTGTCAGTTTTCCATTTCTGGATATTAACATTCCTGCATCTCCAATTTTATTGGTGTTTTCATGTCACAGTTGATTTGATCTTCAAGAACCTGTTCCTATTATGACAATTTTCGTGTACGAAACTGTCAACTTGCGGAAAATTGGTATCACAAGGTTTCAAAATATGCAGATTGATGGAAGTTTCAAGGCTGTCGTGGTTATCTCATTGCGAAACATTCTTATTATTTGAAGCGATATGAATCAATTGTTGGTTTCTTTGATATATGCCTTATTTGAGAACCAGACATTACTTACTGAAGTGACCAAGATTCACAGGGCGGGTGTCGTTGACGAAGCGTTGGTACCTTGAATACAGGTGATACAATTACACGTTTTTTCAGTAGGAATGCTTTTATATTCATGTCAATGATACAGGTTATATTGTTCATTGAGTTCTTGAAAACAAACTGAAAAGTAAACTATGTAGTATATAGGTATATCGTGCGTAATATGTAAATACATGCAATTAAATATTGATACAACAATTAATTATTTTTCAGATGCTCCTACAGACAAATTGATGATGTCACCATCTGGTAACAAGGACATTGGTGCCGGTGACTCAGTGACACTAGATTGCCATGTAAGGGGAGGCAATCCCATCGCCACACTGACCTGGCGGTGTAAAGGAGCATTACGTACCGGGAAGAATATGACATCTACTGACACTGCTCGATCTACCTTGACAGTTAGAGTGGATAAAACCTACAACGGACATATGTGTGCATGTATTGCCACACAACAGACCAATCCTGGCAGAGAAATTGGTAGAAAAACTGTTGAGTTTAATGTAATTTGTAAGTACCGAATATTTTACAGCCTGACTAGAATGGCATGTGATTCAAAAAGTATGAACTGCATATTAATTACTTTTAAACAGATAGACCATATGTACTGTATGCTTCTAAATTTACTACCTATGAATACAGTATGAAAAACTAACCTCGGCCTCCGCCCGCACTCAATATTTGGTGAAATAAATTGAAATTTCTTAATTTTTCATAAAAGGTCGCCGATGCTTTTTCAGCTGTCTTCTTCGTCTGATATAGTCCACAAAGCTCTCACTAACAAGCGATCCTAGGCTCAACATTCTTACTGAGCATTTCATAATTGAAACCATTATATAATATAGTTGATATATCGGCCTTCCCTGGCTACAGGTAGTAATGACGAAATCATTATTTTTCCAAGTGTCTCTGGAATTACAATGATTGCATTTTCAATGGAGAGTGACATGATATATTTTTCTATCTATACCTTACCCCTACGTAGCCGGTCAATCATGAATGACCATTTACTGGGTTGTTTTTCTGCTGACCACATTGTTGATTAATTCCCATACTTTCATGTATTTTTGACAGATTTTTTATCATGATATAATCATGTGAATAATGAACCTTTGTTATTTCCTAGGCACTTTTTTTTTCTTTTTCTGACCTTTCCTCTGTCTTTTCTTATCTATAAATAACTTATTTGTATTCTTTCTCTGAATTAGTTGAAATATTGAAATCATGTTTCTTCTTTGCATTTTTTACATGGATAAAAGTAATCACATATATATATGTTAAGAGAATGCAACGTTTTTTAAAACATATACCACATTCTATTATTGTTTTATGTACCAATGTTGATCAATAAGGAAATTATATGTTAACATGTCGCACACTGGTGAAAAACATCATAAATAGCATACGTATATAACGTTTGATATTTCTAAGATAAACATCATTAGTGACAACGAGTTTAATGTTCTAATCAAGCGTTATAAAAGGAAGAGCAAATCATAAACAGACTCAATTCCGTCCCCATATTCTCTGGGTTATAAAATAAAGATTCAGTTGCTTGTATTGCATATATAATTAACAAAACCAAAGGATATGCATTACAAGACATTTAAAAATTATCGATTGAAATCGATCACAAAGTAAATATGTAATACATATGAAGTATATCGACGACAAAATAGTACTATTCTATTCATTTTAGCTTTTAAAAAAAATATTACCACAAACTGCAACTGGATACAAGAACGTTACGCCCGCCCATGTAGATATATTATTAGGAATGGATGTTACCAAGTTTTTTTTTCATTATTTACATTACTATTCAACACGCAATACTTTTGCAGATGCACCACTAGCAACAAACATCTATTTGCTTCCATCTGGTACGGAAACAGTTACCAATGGAACGACACAACGCCTTGAATGTCAGTTGAAGGGAGGTAACCCTCTGGCCACACTGACCTGGCGGTGTAAAGAGTCACCAAGGATCGGTGTGAATTTGACCACCAGCAATTTATCAGCGTCAAGACTGACATTTACAGTGGATGAAACCTACCATGGACAGCAGTGCGTTTGTACCGCTACATATTCTAAAACAACAATTGGGACAAAGACTGTCGTATTTAACGTGCTATGTAAGTATCAGTTTCACTACTCTTCTACCGACCATACTCGAAGTGGCTTGACTTGGAATATTAGGGGCACAAAACCTAGATTTTGCACTTTAGATTTCAGCTAACAGTAGCCATGATCAGTCTTATTGCACCATAAAGAAATGCATGATAAATATGACGATATCGCTTTCCCTCATTTATCTGTTACAATTGAAACCAATTTTAACTACAGTTATTATATTTTCCTTTCCTATCTATGGATATTTGTGACATTACTTCTTCAATCGGAAATTTCAATTTACCTTCATTATCCACATTAGCGCACGTTATTTACAATTTCTGTTAAAAATACAGTTTACACACCAGTTAAACAACATATATAATTTCTTAATGCTAATTCCATATAATTTATTCCTAAAACATTTGTCATTGTGGTTGTTACGATATAATATACTCTGTGGGTAGTGTCATTTCGTTGCCTTTACAAAACAACACAATCAATCTCATGAGTTCGCACACTTGTACAACATGTGTGTATTTGAAATATAAGATGTAAATATTTTATATTACGGAATAAAAATAATGCAATTAAGGCACAATAGTTGAGAAGGCGCTCCGTGCACCGATGAGCAAAATGTATACTGCAAAATACATTATCAGTCCGTGACTTTGTCAATTACAAAACACGTTCGGTAATTATGTTCGTACTGTTTATGTCTGACGTTCAAGAACATATGTTATAAGGCAAGAGAAAATAGTAGCTCGAAGTTAATTCTCAAATAATCGAATATAGCGATGGAAAAGCACTAAACCTGTGTCTGATGTAATATGAAGCTTAACATTTTTTATTCTCTTGAGTTTACTTGTTGGTTCCGTTGCTGTATACCTTCAATATGAATTTAGCGTTTCTGTCGTCTTCTGAGTCTTCTTTTTATTTCGGTCGTTTCAATATACATTTGCACTATTGTTGAAAGATGTGATTCATCAATATGATTATAAATCATACATACATGGGGCTGTTTTGTATATATTAAAGTCATCTGACGTTGTAGATTAATGAAATAGAGGTAGAAATAACAAAAAATAACAGAAACAGAACAAAAATCGAAAAGAAACGAGCCTAACGAAAGAATTACTAGATGTATTACCCATGAGTTTGTGTGGTTTGTCAGTCAATAAGAGCATGTTAATTTGTTTTCCCACGAGCGTTATAAAATGTTAGGTTATACAACATTTGATGATTAATTGATGCCCTTTGAGTTGAATAATACCGAATTAGTGGTAGAATAACTGTTTAAGACTTGTGATAATGTTTATCTCCTCTCGTTACAATGTTTTTGGGAATCATGTTAAATGTAATTATTTACCAATGACGGGTTTCTTGTCGATGAAGCCACAAAAGTAATGGGAATTGCGGTATCCCTTTGTCATGTTTCAGTTCGTTGCTTATTGGCATGACTCAGAATTTTAAAATACGCTTGATTTAGTTTAATAATTAAGTCATATTGAAAATGTTGATTTGTTCAATTGTATCGGGTAAGTGCTTATCGTTATCTATTATGTTCATGAGTTTAACAACAAAGTTATATTTTCTTCCGTCGTATCCTAGGTATTCCGACATTAAAAATACAGCTGTATGATTTCAATTAATTTCTGACATTATTGCATTTAACACAATACACATAAGATACATTGATATGTTACAGATGCTCCTGTCATCAACCTAAATACCTCTAAAGTCATCCTCAGTGAAGGTGAGAGTTTTAACAGGACGTGTTCAGCTCACGGTAATCCTTCTCCAAACGTGTCCTGGGTTCAGGATATTACTACGTTACCGTGCTTTGCAAAATTATTGAAAAAATATAAAAAAACATTACCTGTATTTCGTTAAACACGAACAATTATATTTAGACTATGATAAAGAGGACAAGACATGAGTTTCCATTGATATTAGATTTTTTTAAACGAGTCAGAATTTCTTATCATTGTTATTATCATTTTTTTTTTCAACATTCTGTTTGATACATGATATTGATACCTTTGTAAACATACGTAAAACAGTCTTTGGTTAATCTAATACAATATCTGCTTTAGTGTTATTTTCAGTTTTCATTTCTTTCTCTCGTGTATGACGTCACAATGCAGGTATCGTCATTGGATTATGACGTCACATATGGAACAATAGAGTTTTTCAGTCGATTTTAGCGCCACAAGGTGATATTGCACACATCTGATAGCACGTATTTCTATATTAGTAATATGTGATACATCCTACTTATTTCTAGTAAAGCAAAAATGTGATTTCATTTATGTGGAAAGAGTGATACAGGAAGCATTCATTAAGGATCAGAGACATTTTAAAAACAACAGAGAATTTGAAAGAAAAATATTAATGTCAATATTGTTTTGATATTTTGCGTATATCTTCTTTTCTAGCTATATAAATCATGGCTTGAAAGTCCAGCAATATTTTTCTTGTGTGTATTTGATATAAAATTTTTTTATTAGGACTATTAAGTATTTTTAATTACAGCTTTTTATAAACATACCAAGAAATGTTGCCCTAGAAATCGTTAAAACAATATTTCTGTACAATAACAACAATGTCAAATTTTAAGTCCTCAAAAGAGAAAACCGTAACCTGCACACGTTATCAATAAAGATGATTTTTAATCCTCAAACACCACTCCTAATTACACGAATCTTGTCAACAACATCTATCTCACAAGGTATTGAGAAATTTTGCACCTTATATCAACAAACTTCAAATTATCTTCATTTTTTTTCATATGAGTATTCATTGTTACAGCAGCAACGTTACCTGTTAAATATATTCAACCTAAAGCGAAATGGAATATTACAGATAATGTTTTGAGAATGGAAGTGTTCGATATGAATAGTAAAATTCCGAATATTGTAATACGAATCGGATGCGTTTGTTTGGTCATTTTAAAGTGTGTACAATACAGCTAGGGAATCTCTGTAAGGACCAAATGAATGATAGAAAATTCAGAATTTTTCAAATATGGGTAAATTGAGTACTTAGTAAACCTAACCATAATATTTTTTTGGACAGGAGGAATGGTAGATGGGTTTTGTGTTTGTTCGTTATGGGCTTTTCTATTGTTTTTTGTTTTGTCTTTGTTGTTGTTGATGTTATTGTTGTCTTGTTAATAATTATTTTTTTGGACAGGAGAAATGGTAGATGGGTTTTGTGTTTGTTTGTTATGGGCTTTTCTATTGTTTTTTGTCTTTGTTGTTGTTGATGTTATTGTTGTCTTGTTAATAATTATTTTTTTGGACAGGAGGAATGGTAGATGGGTTTTGTGTTTGTTTGTTATGGGCGTTTCTATTGTTTTTTGTTTTGTCTTTGTTTTGTTGTTGTTGATGTTATTGTTGTCTTGTTAATAATACTTTTTTTGGACAGGAGGAATGGTAGATGGGTTTTGTGTTTGTTTGTTATGGGCTTTTCTATTGTTTTTTGTCTTTGCTGTTGTTGATGTTATTGTTGTCTTGTTAATAATTATTTTTTTGTTTACGGTTAGTGTATTGTTTTCATGAATGTCTTTAGATACAATTTTCCTTAAACGCCTGGTCAACCGAAAATGAAATATCCCTGTTATGATGAAATATTAAAAGCAATTGATAGTTGCATGATAAACATAGGTTTGTAAATACTCTCATGACAAAATGCATGTTTGCTATCTTCATTTGAATTTTCTTAGTTCAAACAAAACTCACAAAAATGAAGTCCTTAGAAACAACAGTAATTGCGAATTCTATACATCACATACTTTGTTAATATGCGTTACTTTTACGTAGCAAAATATCTATTGTATATTTAAGAACAATATTATGAGGACAAGTTATGCCAGATAAAGCATAAACCACTGTTAATGGAGATAATTTTTGTATTTCAAACAACATTTAGTGTTCGTTGGAAGCATATATAGAGTGATAATTGTTTGCATTTAATGATTTTTATTTTGTCTGCAACACCACTTTCAACTATTATAGCCTAATTTAGCTATGTTGTCTTCAGATTCGCCGTCTGCTCCTACCCAGGTGTTTGCTGACTGTAAGGGATTCGGATCTGCGGAGGTGTCATGGCTGGCGGGTGACAATGGCGGTCATACCCAATCATTTCAGGTTCTCTATCAAACAGACGGAAATGTTTATAAGTATCCAGACATTGTTACTGAAAACGACAGCGATGACTACGTTCTGACAGTGGAAAATCTAGCGGAGCAGTCGTTATATATCTTTACTATTTTGGCTTTCAACAATGTTGGAAACGTGACGTCAACAGACCTAGGGAAATGCACCGTCCATGGTAAATATATTGTTTTTTATGTTTTTTTTTTTAATTGAATGTGACTTTTTGTGGCCGTCATGTGATTACAATGAAATGTCGGCCCAGGCAACAATGATCAACACAGCTAAAGATCAAACATAGATTACGGACGACAAAGAAAACGCGCCGTTTACCGTAAAAATATATTTATTTCGCTGTTATTGGGAAAAATGAAACTCGTTAACTTTTCATAGCTTTTTTTATACATATTTCATATGAAACGGACATTTATTTCCTTTTGCAGGAGAGGTATCTCCCAACAAACAGACTGCTATATTTTCCGCAAGTGTAGCTATGCTGTGCATTGGTATTTTAGCATTATTGCTTACGATCGGAGTAATTGCCATTTTTGTCAAAAGTATGTACATTTTATTTTTGTTTTCAAAGAAAGTAAGATTTTAGTTTATTTTTTAAATCAATATTGCCTACTTTCGTTTTGCTACATTTTCAACATCGGTGTGTATAGCGAATCACGGGCTTGCGTATAAAAAGAATCATGCATGAAAACTTTTCATTTAAAATACCCATCAACATTCTATTCAAAGTTATGATCTTATCATTTTAACACTTGAACACAGATGATAATGTTACCCTGAAGTATACTTTCGTTTCTGTTATATATCGATTTCAAATAAGACTTTAATATCATATACACTTAATCATCCATTAATTAGTCTTTCGCTTCTCATAACAGGGAAGGACGCAATATTGTAAGTACACTTTCTCCTTTAAGGTAAAGATGAGTTTATACGATTTAAAAAAAATTGATTGCGAACATTAGATAATGGAACAAAATTTAACATCTTGTAATTAATACACCCTCCAAACCCATCAGAGAGAGAGAGAGAGAGAGAGAGAGAGAGAGAGAGAGAGAGAGAGAGAGAGAGAGAGAGATCTGAAGCCAAGATGGAAGAACGAGGCTAGCCAAATGTTTGTCACTTACATATCCGATGAATTGGTACAAGCAATCGGTTTGAATTACTCATTTACTTTCACCTTGATGGTTTTCTTTGGATTTTTTTTGTCCTAACGCATTACATCATTGAGTTGACATGCCTTCATAGATAGGATGAGACAACATAACCTTCCGCCTGTGAAAACGATGTATCTGTCGATTATAAGAGAAACGTATACTATACTCATACGACAATGTCCCGTATACAAATATATCACATATCCAACTGTCGGTGAATCCTATTACAAAAAAATAGAAATATGAATATATAGATCAAGTATACAATATGTCGTGACCTGCATGGTGTAGACAACATTGATGAAATACCTACAACTCAGCAGAATCTCAATTCGCTTATTTCCAACGTGCAAAATGTTCACTTGTATAATTATATATATATATATGGATACATACTAAAGAACAAGGATAATAGGACCACGCGTGTTTGAACCGAGTTTTTTAATTCTATTTCACTTCATGAATGTACAAACTACTTAGAAAAACACCGCATAGTTTTGAAATATGTTGTTAAGGTGCCGCACATTATTGAAAACTACCTGAGATACAAGGGGAAATTAAAATGATAAAATCAGTTTTGGCACGGAAGATACTACTGACGGACTTCAAATATAAAGAAACTTTTCGACTATTTATCGGTTACAACTTGTTATTTGATGATATTCAATATATCAACAATATTTCTCTCTCTCTCTTGTTCAATGAAACAGAGGCAAGAGACCTGAGAAACCAATTCAGCTCGGAAGGATCGACAACGCAGATGAGGAAATGACAGGTAACCAATGTTCTCGCGTGTGTTCTATTTCTGTCAGATGGCATATAATGCATATCTTTAGTACACTTAAGACGTACTACATTCTGTTGGCATTTTTGTCTTTTTTATTAGAAAACGTTATAGTATTTGTTTCGTAAATGATAATAATAATATCATTCAAAATATGTATATTTCCACAAAACATTTTCATATCAGAGCATTTAATGTATAACATATGTTTATTTATTAAAGGAAATTTGCCACCTGGAGATAATGGGTAAGTGCGTTTAATTTAAGACTAGCAAAAAATCGACACTTATCTAAACTTTTGCTAGAACCACTGATAGTAGTATTATCAACACTTACAACAATATCAATTTTAGTATTCAAATAAGATTTAAACAATATGCGGTTTTATTGATGAAAGACCAATTTTGTCAAAGAAAATATCTTTAATAAAGCTATTATATATATCTTGTTTTATTAAATCTCTAATTATGTCTTACAGTACACTATACGAAGTACTAAATTCAGAAGAAATGTTTCCACCCTCTGTTTACGAAACAATCGGTCACTCATCCAATGGTAAGTTTCAGACTATAAGTTTAACTTACTATACAGTGTTTAACCTGGTATCGCGTAAAGATCTGTTTGACCGCTTCAGTATATGTTAAATCCGTTCATAGTTGTAGCAATACTTACGCCATCACCGAGTTACAAAAAGCACAATTATAATTGAATATACAGAAATCCATAGTAAATCGTGTTACTGATGTTACTTTTAACTATTTACATGTATTTGCATTGTACGCGTTTCCTTATACGTTATCATACCAAAGGTAATTGAACTGAAAGGTAATTGATTTGAACAAACAAATATAGCTCTTTTTTTTCTTTTTTCTTTTTTTTTTGCTTAGACGAAACAACAAATCAACATGAAAGGTGAGTAAACAGATTGATATCTAAATAAATAAGTAGCTATCACACCGGAAATGATAAATCATACAAAAGTACTGTTTTCCGTCAGCCAGGAAATAGTTACTTTTAATATGTATTTGATGAAAAAATACCAATAAATATACTTGTAAAGAGATATATATCTGTAAGCAATTGAGGTTTATTATTTTACAGAACAAAGAAAAACAGCCCGAACAGCAACGACTACTTAGAACCAATCGAATGGCTTGATGAGGAAGAGTACAACGGGCAAAACGTTTGATTGTGTCATTGTAGACACGTGATTGAACGTGACACAGCATCAGCAGGACATGGAGAATGTTTTAAAGCGTTGCCCCTGTTGGCTTGGCAAGTAATTTGTGTTGGGACAAACTGACTCAATCTTAAGGATATGGATAAACTTGTAACCGCAAAATGTTAGCAGTCGGTGTTATTCTGCGAAATTAGTTAAGAAATGACTACAAACATTTATATTGATATAACAAGTTTGTATATTGAATGATTTCAGCTCTGCTGCTTGATATTTTGATAGTGACGCAGCATCGCACAACATGCAACAGACAAACAGAAGTGAGTATATAGAAAATACATAGTCAGTGTCTTGAAATATATACTGGCGAGAGTGAGGAGATGACAAATGTGGTGAGCCACTGGCGAGACACTTTTGTCTTTCTGCCCGAGCCAAACATAATACAGTATACATTCTAAGACACTGATGATGAAATTAGACTAGAATACCTAAATAGTGTTGTTGTTCAATCTTTGTTCACTTTAATGTTGCCTGATGACTTACGCCAAAATGATTGCTCCGCGCAGAAATGTAGTTCCAAATATCATCGAATATGACAGCGATTTGATGACATTCATATATATATATGTGTGTGTGTGTGTGTGTGTGTGTGTGTAAATGTCATCATTATCATATATATATATAATAATGATAAATTTTCAGTTTTGTTAATCGGGATAAATCACCTGTTTAAAACATGTATTAGTTGGAAAGATGTTTATCGTTATCACAAACAACGATTAAAAAAAGTGTGTTTTCTTTCCATGCAAGTATTGATGGCAGTTCACTATACGACAAATTTACGAATGCAAGTGTGAAGTAAATTGTAAAATTGTCATTTTCGTACCAATAGCATCCTGAGGAACAATTACTGTTTTATCCATAAAAAAAAAAAAAAAAATATTAGCCATTTCAGCGGTAACATTTAATCGTCAGACTGTAGTAATAATTACGTCATTTTTTGTGTTTAAGATACCGAGCCTTTATGAGACATAAACCATCGCAGTAAAGCTGATCTCAATTGATGCTAGAACTTTGGTGACAACTAATAATCCTATACAGATGCATGTAATAAACGTATACACTCTTTTGTCGGTAACCAATCCTCACTCTGTACCTATACAGCTATACCTGTGTTCGTTGTATGTTTTAACTAATCTCATTATTTAATGATATGTATTTGTAAAGGTTTGTATTGTTTTGATATAGGGACAGATCGCCTTGGAAAACTGGTAAAGAGTTTGACCTTTTATGTTATTTTTAGCCCACTGTTACATAAATATGTACAATTTATGCCATATATGATATACATCTAGCACAAAAATCTTAAAAAAAATACTTCTTTTATAAGTATAGAAAAATATTAGTAGATAATATTGAACCTGTTAATTGTATGCATTTTTTCCCATTTTTATCATGTATTACAGAAACTTGTTGTAAATAGATAAACAAGGAACAATTGAAATGACATGCGTATGTCGGTATTGTAATAATTAGATTTCTCTATATGGTGAAAACCTACAAATTGTACGCGTATAAAACAAACACACAGGTCACCATATTTGACTAGAATATGCTGTAGCCATTTAAATAAGTAGCTCACTTATTCTGTTTGTTAAACTTTGCGTCACATCCGAATGGTGTGTGATCTGTTTACAGCGAGGAATACCGTCTGTATCACTTAGAGATGCCGAAGTGCTATGACTAGTGTATCGATATATTTGTCTTTTTACTGCTTAATCGTGCTATTATCCGTGACTATTGTATCATGATATTGTAAATTAATATTTTTATCGTGCTATTATCCGTGACTATTGTATCATGATATTGTAAATTAACAACTTTACCTTTGTTCTATCCCTGACTACTTTATTATTGTATTTTTACATGTTGTCGGTGATACTATATCCCGGTTACGTATTAGTTGTATTGTCCTTCAAAAACGCTAACGTGACACTGCCATTACATTAGGGAAGCATTCCTTCGTAAGGTCATCGTGGTAGTATCGTATCTCACATGAATACGTGCTGGTAGTACCGTCTCTCTCTTTGATACGTGCTGGTAGTTTCGTCTCTCTCTTGGATACGTGCTGGTAGTATTGTCTCTCACTTGGATACGTGCTGGTAGTATCGTCTCTCTCTTGGATACGTGCGGGTAGTATCGTCTCTCTCTTAGATAAGTGCTGGTAGTGTCGTCTCTTTCTCTTGGATTTGTGCTGGTAGTATCGTCTCTCTGTTGAATACGTGCTGGTAGTATCGTCTCCCTCTTGGATACGTGTTGGTAGTATCGTCTCTCACTTGGATACGTGCTGGTAGTTTCGTCTCTCTCTTGTATTTGTGCTGTTAGTATCGTCTCTCTCTTAGATAAGTGCTGGTAGTGTCGTCTCTTTCTCTTGGATTTGTGCTGGTAGTATCGTCTCCCTCTTTGATTTGTCCTGGTAGTATCCGTCTCTCACATGGATATTAGCTGGTAGTATCAACTCTCTCTTGGATACGTGCTGGTAGTATCGTCTCTCACTTGGATACGTGCTGGTAATATCATCTCTCTCTTGGATTTGTGCTGGTAGTATCGTCTCTCACAAGGATACGTGCTGGTAGTATCGTCTCTCTCTTGGATACGTGCTGGTAGTATCGTCTCTCTCTTGGATACGTGCTGGTAGTATCGCCTCTCTCTTGGATACGTTATGGTAGTATCGTCTCTCTCTTTGATACGTACTGGTAGTATGGTCTCTCTCGCGGATACGTGCTGGTAGTATCGTCTCTCACATGGATAAGTGCTGGTAGTATCGTCTCTCTCTTTGATGCGTGCTGGTAGTATTGTCTCTCTGTTGGATACGTGCTGCTAGTATCGTCTCTCACATGGATACTTGCTGGTAGTATCGTCTCTCTCTTTGATTTGTACTGGTAGTATCGTCTCGTTCTCTTGGATTTGTGCTGGTAGTGTTGACACCTAGATATGTTATTGTAGTATTGTCTCTTTGATGCGAAATGGTAGTGCTGTCTCCTGGATACGTGCTGGTAGTATCGTCTCTCTCTTGGATACGTGCTGGTACAATCGTCTCTCTCTTGGATACGTGCTGGTAGTATCGTCTCTCTCTTGGATATGTGCTGGTAGTATCGTCTCTCTCTTGGATACGTGCTGGTAGTATCGTCTCTTTTATACGTTCTGGTAGTACCGTCTCTCTCTTGGATTTGTGCTGGTGGCATCGTCTCTCTCTTGGATACGTACTGGTAGTATCGTCGCTCACTTGGATACATGCTGGTAGTATCGTCTCTCTCTTGGATACTAGCTGGTAGTATCGTCTCTCACCTGGATACGTGCTTGTATTATCCTCTCTCTCTCGGATACGTGCTAGTAGTACCGTCTCTCACATGGTTACGTGCTGGTAGTATCGTCTCCCTCTCTTGGATTTTTGCTGGTAGTGTTGACACCTAGATATGTTATTGTAGTATCGTCTCTTTGATACGTGATGTAGTATCGTATCTTGGATATATATGATCGTAGTGGTATATGTATGATATGTTATCGTGGTGTTGACTCTCGAATACGTGATCGCATTGCCGCCACCTGGATACCTGATCGTAGTGGTGTTCCTTGGATTCGCGATGATAGTGCAGTCTCCTAGATACGTGCTTGTGTTGCATCTGCCTGATACGTGATCCTAGTGAAATCTCTTGAATATGTTATCATAATACTGTCTCCCGGATGCATTATCATTATACCGGCTCATGGAATGTTTTCTATTACTATAGTATCTTGGATACATTGTCGTACATAGTGTAGTTACAGCGTATGGATATGTAATCCTCTCTCTGTTATTGTATTATAACTACTGGGTTATGTTATGGTAGTACCTTCCTGTAGATAAACCCGTCTATATTGTTATTGGTGTGTTATTATTGCCTCTAATATTCCTGTATACAATAATGAGTATCAAGTATAGTAAAATATTATGAATTTTGTTTCATATTATTATCATTAAATAGTAAAAATCCAAAACTTATCAGTAAGAATTGTTTCAAGTACATTTCCAGGTATTTTATATATTTAAGATATATTTTTACTTATACTGATGAATGAAAATTGTTTTTAAAAATTAATCCTAACAGCAGCTGAAACTATAACACTTTCAAACAAGGAAAGAATCGTATTGTTTAAGTTTATCAAAATAACAAAAGTACAATGTAACTTAAGCTAGATTTATTTTAATCATTCAGCATTTATTTTATCCTTTGCCATCGTATCACATAATTCCTCAATTATCCAGCGAATTCGTCCTGTACTATCTTAGAGTATCAGTCATTAACGAAATATATACTTGAGCTTTTATCATTAGCTGCGTCTGTCAGATTTCCACTTCAAATGAGCTTATATGAATTTCGTCTTAGAGTCTTGATGTTTGCTTGCAAAGTCTTCCAAAAATAAACACATCGAAAAATCGGCTGAAGAAATAAAAAATTAATTAAAAACTGTTATTTGATCCAATATATATTTTCCACAGACAAAAGTCAGAATTATTTTGAAAATCGAAGTGACTAATTAAATGTAATAGCTCTGCGCTTTCCAAAGATCAATGACGCTGTATTGTTTGTGATGTCTCTTCTGTAAGATTTTAAAAACAACATTGTTTCTAAAGGACTGGACATGGCTGATCAAATAAATCAATGTGATACACACTATTTCTGTTTCTGTTGTATTTGTTTCTGTTTTTTTTTAACAATGACGGTCTTCACCATCAACAACGACAATGTGGAATGTCCCGGATGGTGTGTCTTCAGTAACAACAGTTACGTTTTTACGGACATCTATTGCCCATGGACGTTTGATTCCGACGAATTTCGATAAGAAATTTTTATCTTTGATTTTTCCGTCCCTAGTCAAAGTCGTGATGGTGTTTGTCTTGCTATTACACACATAGACTGTCTCTTCAAACACGGTGAATCCGGAAACACCCTCAATGTATTTACTCCAGAGAGTTTTACCGGAAAAATGGACGGCAACAAGGGATTTCCGCACCCCATCGAATACCAAGATGCTATCTTCTGATAGAATGCAAAGGTCTGCAGGAAAAAGAATACATTTGCCAACTAAAATTCCCGGAAGTAGAGTTTGGAAGCGTGGGCGGATAGAATGAATCACGTGACCTTGGAAGTTGATGACGTCGATCGATTTGTCAAGGGCCGAAACCAACATCCTTTGTCGATCATAAGCGTATATCCCAATGTAGTGTTTGGAAGTTTTCAGCGGTTCACCTGTTGTCTTTAGACTTGGCTCAACCTCTACTGTAGAAATCTCGTTATGGGACCAGCACGTGATGACTATTGTATGTGTTTCCGGTATAAGTGCGATGTGATGAGGTTCCATTATGGACAGTTTCTGCATGTGAACTCCTGAGTGGACATCGAACTTCATAACGAGGCTGTTGTACTGGTCCACGACTACCACGTGTTCTCCAACGATACATACATCTGAAAGTGTAAATATTCCACGAATATTCTCCCCTACATGAACCGCTCGATGAGAAAAGCTTTCAAACAAAGCTGTTGACGATATCGATGCCAGAGAACCCCGCTTCCCGGCTCCATGCACGTAACTTTCTTCACTATCTAACTTCGAGGCTGATGACATGATAGAAACATCTGATAAAGATTCAGCATCATCTGCTGTAAATTTCACAGGACGAGTAGCTTTAACTAATGTAGAGCTCAGAGAATCTACAGAACTATCTGGTTTGGGGTTTGATGACCGCTCAAGAACATCGAATTCATGTGAAATTTCAGACTGTCTACCAGTATCGCTTCCTTGATTAGCAGATGGCACCGGAACCACTTGTAAAAAAGACTCTAAATCTTTTGTATCATCCGCCTGAACACTTGCCGATGAACTGGAACTTAGGTTACCAACATCACGAAAGTTTGCACAAAACTGTAATAGATCTTCATTAACATCTAAATTGAAAGGAGTTGAAGTCCCCAACCTGACTTCAATATTATTCAAGCACTGATGGTGTTCCGTTGCACGTCTTTCACATTCCTGTAGCAAATCCAATGCTTTCATCTTACTTCCTGTCTGATTGGCATTTCCAAGATCCTGCGTCAGGTGCAATAGGTCATCTTGTATAACGGATATTGATGACAGGGCGTTCATGACCTCGTTATCTCGTTGGTGAATAGACTGCGCGAGATGCTGAACATTTAACTGTGCTTTGCCCCAAAACTGTTGAAGGACATCTTGCACGTCACGTAGCCTGGCTTGCGACTTAGATTTGCATTGCTCGATTATGTGGTTTGCGCGTATTCCTTGGTCTTTGACATGTGTAACGCGATTTGAAAGTTGATCAAACCTGAATTTTAGTTGTTGAATAATTACGGTGATTTTTTCCGAACAGTCATCCAATGGAAATTTAAGACATTGGTCGTGATCTATCCACGCACAGGTTGCACAGAGCAACAGCGCATGCGTAAAGCAGTAGACATCCTGGACATTGGACTTATGCCTGATACAAAAACTTTTTTCGTCCTTCTTTTTCGAGTCCTTATCTAAAAGTGCGCTTTCCTCAGGAGAAGTAAGCGAATTCTGATCATGATTTTGTACCGTAGTTAAAATAGCTACCAGAAGAATGTCAGAGGGAAAAGATCTTATCCAGGCGTGGAAATCTTTTCCACTCGGACACAGATTTTCACATCGACATATTGGACATGAAAGTTGTCCCGACACTACACATTTCTGTCCGTAATCAAGTAAACAAGCGAGGCAGAAGGAATGATCACAGGACAACTGACGAGGATCTCGAAATATTTCACAACATATGCTACATGTGAGATAATCCTCTGTAAGGTTACTAGCTAGACGACTTGCTGCCATGGTTCTTCATACACAAATAAACGTAGACCATCCGACTGTCCTCACAGTGAAGTTGTATATCGTAGCAATCAGGAATTTTAAGCTAATTCTTAAGAGTATTGAGTATAGTTGATTGAAAAACACAAACCTGCTTGTTTCGATACTCGACACTCTACATTGATCATGTCGTCCGGTCAGCCATTTTGGTTTGATACCACCCACATCTAATTTGTCACGTGACCATTGTATACACCGTTATCAATGTCGATGCAGAGATAAATATGGGGACATCACATATAACTTCCAGTCAGGATAACGCAAATCAGACGTGCCAAGTTGTTGCCGCATTGATAAAGCTTGTACTTGATAGTGTGCACTTAAATCGGTGGAGTCTGGTTACATCGCCTGGTGATAACATACGGATATTTGGTGACCTAGTGTAACACCGCGTACGCCTCACATGCTGAATAGCATATAAATGTAGTGACAGACTCTGGCTGATAGAAATGGCGGTATATTTCTGCCATCCAGTTGCATTTGATCGTTTTGTCGTAAAACGATTTTTTGAGATAATTATCGCAACAAGTCGTACTATTATATAAATGTAAGGTGACTTTTGGACAAATGTGGCTTTAGGCTTAGAGTATAACACGGCTTGGTGCAATTCTTATGCTACTGTAACACGACCTAACATGATAACTGGAGAGATAACCATCATTGTTTGATACTGTTGTCGGATTAATGATATTGTTATACAGTTATATTTGCTTTTTATTCTTAATATTTCAAACAGAAATATGATCAGAAAAGATCATGTCGGTGTCGCTTGCTCTTGTGAATATTTGGTTGATATATTTATCTACAATTTAGGAATTCGGTTATAAAATTTGTATAAGAAAATTTTATTAATCTTTCCGTTATGTATACATTGTTAATGTCGACTTGCATTAATTTTTGCTTCGCAAATATTTTAAAAAGTCAGAAAAATGATGAACATTTCACGAAAACTTGTCGCGACTCAGTACATTTTACGGAGGAGATTAAGTAAACTATGATTTAAAAGAATTGTTATCATATGATATATCTTTCACGGAAAGTGTTAAGTGGACTAAAGTTTTTTGACTAAATTTCTATCAGAATGTTTATCTTTGACAGGAAAGGTCTAGTGTGATATGATTTTAAAAAAGATGCAAATGAGGCAGCCATTTTGTTACGCCCTTTTCAGTTTGTGACATTACGTCATAGTTCATTTGACATCATTTCGAATTTCGAAAGTATGTAAACGTTTTGCCTTACTAATTATGAGGTTATAAGTTTCAAAATTTTTCATGAGGTTTTGTCGAGTTGGACATCTTATAAATCCCTAGGATTGAGATGTCTCAATGTACGTTACAGAGAGCGATAGTATTATCTTTGACCTCTTTCTCATTTTTAAAGATTGGAAATTGTTGTGACAACCTGAATGCATCTATCCACAAAATATGAACGATGAACGGTGAGTCATACTTATGTTGTCCTATCTTTACATGGCTAGGAAACATAAGTTATACAACGATATTTTGCAATAGTCCGACATGCAGTTTTTATCCAGGAAAGACAGATTTTCTTAACCTAGAAAAAATGAGAATACATTAGTGAAAATAAGCAGCAAAAGGCTGTTTTAATCTATATGATGACATCCTGGCACACAAAGGAGTTAGATTTAACATCTAGGAATGTCTATATTCTGTAACAAGTCTCGCAACATCTCCAGGAAACCACCAATCAGAAAGATCATTACAAACACTTAAACATACAATTGCAGTGAATAAAACCATTAGCTAATATGATAATGAAAAATGGTGATATGTCATTTATGTTTCATGAGAAAGGATAAAATTGAAGCAATACCAAACAAAATAACGTCAGTGAATGAAATATTTACGAATTTGGAAAAAGGATTATGACATATTTGGGGTGTAAAGAGAACTTTGATACTTATGTGAATAAAGTACAGTTAGATATGTCAGAATTGCAAATGAGGCCTTCAAACTTCAACGTTACTTTTTCATCTAATAATTAGAAAAAAATAATTACATATCTACAAGACGTTCTAAATATCAATGTAACTTTCATCGAAAACCCCGAATTTAGGTGAAAGGTTTCGCGATTCCGTCTAGGAAATTTATTTCAAATTTCGCGATATTATTGTAAATAAAAAAAGGCCAATGAAACTTTATTGCGTAATGTTATTTTTGACTTACTCAATGTTAGGTAAGTATTTGAATGAGTTTCTGTTATATTAGGACGATAAACACTTAGGACGATAAACACAAGCTGGCCATTTCTGATACATGCTCCACCTTGTTTTTTGAACAGAAGTTATAAAAACTAAGTTGACTTTGATAATAGTTAATTTTCACGTCTGTCTTCATCTATCTTGTAACGGTTGCAGCTTCTATACCAGACATTACTTAAACTAAAAAGAATATGTGTGACCTTCATATTTCACTTCATTCGCATAAATACGTGTCTGGCTACCTGCTATAACTGACAGCATTGCAGTCCTGTGGCGTATTTTATACTCCATCTTTTTGGCTATAATAAGATTATAATATTGTTTATGTTGTAAACATGTTTGTACAACTTGGTCGACATTGTTGTTACCATACCTACCATGTTATTCGTCATAATGTTACGTCACTGGATATATACCTCTTTCTTTGTTGTTATTGATATATAACATACCCCAAAAATAAAGCTCAAATCGTGATTCAATTATCGGGACGGAAATTACATCATAAATACGTGCCTGGTAACCTTGTTTGCACCGTGCACTACCGGAACTACTTTTGATACATCATTCTGGACTGGTGTATTATTAAGCGGAAGGTTATAGTTCACTATTATGTGTGAAGTTGAGTTACAGGAAATCATCGCTTTGTGATGGGAAAGGATACAGTTCATAGTTATATAAATAGTTACGCGTTGCTGTGTGTCGGTAGGGTTCACAGCGTCGCGAGACTTTCCTATTTCTATCTACTGATTAACCAGACCCCAGATAGCCTATAAAATAAAATTTTACAAAGTTTACTTACAAGATAGACATATGTATGGACATGGTATTGTTCCATTCAATATTGTATTTTCAAACAATTTGTTGGTGTAAAATTATTTATTTTCTTAAGGTTCCAATTTAGCGGTGTAAAAATAATTTTTGTGACAATTTTTTTTTTTTTTAATTTTAATTTTTTTTTGCACATTTTTCAACATGAATGACATTACAAAAAACACACAATGGCATATACCCACACAATCACACAGATCAATACCATCCATCATCATCGTGAAACCTGGTGATGTCAAAATCATGATCATCATCATCACCATCAGCACCATCTTCATCGTCATCAATATCATCACATCATCATCGTCCACATCGTCGTCATCATCATCATCATTGTCACCTCATCGTCATCTGCTTGATCAATCGTCATCATAGATCAATGATGATGATGATGATGATGATGATCATCATCATCATCATCATCAAACATCGATTATTGTCATCCTCATCATCATTATATACACACTGTCAATATTATATTTGATTATGTACACATACACCCACACCCACACTCACCATAAAACACGCATGCACACACACACACACACATTAGGAGAGAGAGAGAGAGAGAGAGAGAGAGAGAGAGAGAGAGAGAGAGAGAGAGAGAGAGAGAGAGAGAGAGAGAGAGAGAGAGAGGGGTGTCTGAAGGTAGAATGTTTGAAACTACTTATATGTGCTTCTAAAATATTCGGCTAAGACAGGGGCATCAAGAGATCATGAGTAGTAAAAATTTAAAATTGAATTGTGGAATTTGAAAGACTACAGGTTAAATAATTTCTCCCATTTTTTCCATTCTTTATCAAATTTTTGTTTTTCTTTGTCCTCTTTACCTTTTACAATATATTTCTGGATTGAATAGTTTTCTTTAATTATATTCATAAGAACATTTATATTTAGTGAGTTGTGAAAGCATCTCATTCTATAAATGTACTGTTTTATGATTATGACAATTTCATTGTCAACACGATTACTAAGAAGAGAGTTCTGAAAGAGAAAGCCAAAAATAAACGAGTTTTTGTTTACCGAGAAAGGGATTCATAAAGCTTCTAATAATGTTTTAAAGCACTGAAGTAAGTTTTGAACTTCCTGGCACTCCCATAGAACATGGGTAATTGTCTCAGTTTCAGTATTACAGAAAACACAGAGAGGGGAGATAACTAGTCCTAGTTTGAAAAGTAAAGAATGAAACCATTGAAGTTTTGCACTGTTTGTCACCTGGAATGGGATTCTATGATACCTAGTCCATGATGAGTGGTCAATATCGTCTAACAGTGAGTTCCATTTTTTGGTGCCTGTTGGAATCAATTCTGATTTATTTAAAAGATTATAAAATAATTTTGAACCTTTTTTATCTCTGAAGAAAATCTGTAAGTTAATTCGTATGTATGGGTAAGTTATATTAAGTACTTTATGTGTATCGTATGAGGAGATATATATTTTTTATAGCCGAGACCAGACCATGATACTCTAGAAAATTAGTGTTTATTCTATATTTCTGAATAAATTCATCAAATGGGTAAAATGTACCAGTTTCTGAGTTTTTCATCAAATCATTTATGATTATTATGTTACTTTTATACCATTCTTTAAGGAATAGTGTTTTACCTCCAACAAGAATTTTACTGTTATACCAAATTGGAACTTTAATTAAGTTTTCCTGAAAGGCTTTAATATTATATTTTAACTGCACTTTATACCAGGCATTTAGAACATCCATATTTATTCCTATATACCGACCTGAAAGAAAACCAGTTTGATCATTATCAATTAATTTATTCAAAACTTTTTTTATCCTGTTTGCAATTGAGTCTGAGGCTATTTTGTATACATTATTCAGAAGAGAAATGGGCCTCCAGTTTTTTTTATATAATGCCTGGGTTTATCTGGTTTAGGGATACAAGTTATTATCCCCAGCCGCTGTGTAATAGAGAGCTGTTCAGTACGATATCCAAAATTAATTGATCGAACTACAAAATCTCCCAGTTTCCCCCAAAAGCATTTGAAAAATTCAGTTGTAAATCCGTCGGAGCCTGCACTCTTGTTGTTTTTCATAGATTTTAAAGTATTGCCTGCCTCCTTGAATGTAATTTCTACTTCGAGATTATCTGATTCGTTTTTTTGTTAGCCAAGGTATACTGTAGCTATTAAGATAGTCAGCCAGATTAGTATTTTGTCTTCCTGTTTAGTAATAATTTCATTATCATCTTTTTGTAGTTTAGGGATAATTTTAGAAACATAATTCCTATTTTCCAGGTTTAAAAAATACTTTGATGGTTTTTCCCCTTCTTCCACCCACTTTGCCCTTGATCTTATAATACTACCCTTTGTCTTGTATGCCCTGATTGCTTCTAACTCTGACTTTTTCTTATCTAACTCTTCTACATCAATGATATCAGATGCCTCCAGAGACTGACTAGTAGTTTTTAAAATATTCTCTTGAAAGTTTTGCTGCTTTTTCTTGAATGATGCATATGAAATTGACTTACCTCTGATTTCCATAAGCAATGTTTCTAAAAAAAAGTTGGTCATTAATAAAAAATTGTAAATGAGAATTAGTGATGTCATCAACTTTGTTTAAATTATAAATAGGCACACAGATTTAATTTCCAAGTCCCTCTGCCTTTTTTAAAGTCATTTAAAGTAAGCACTATTTTAGGAAAAGAGTGATCTGTTCTGTAGCCAGGTTCAATAGTTGTATAACTAATATTAGAAAACAGACTTTCTGATACAAGAAAAAAATCTAGACGAGCTTGTTTAACAGGATTCTTTTTTCTCCAAGTGTATCTCCTTACAGTATCATGTTGTTCTCTAAAGACATCTACAAGTGCACAGTTCTCACTAAATTCTAGTACCTTATCTCTAGCTTTTGGGTTGTTTATGTTTTTATATGAATTATCGTAGTCAAATTCTGGTTTCAAAACAAGATTAAAATCACCACATATTATTATATTAGTGTTGTTAAGGTCATCAATTATATCCGAAACTTTTGAGTAAAACTCGGGACAATCTTGGTTGGGACCATAAATATTAACAAGGGTGATACGTGAACCAACCATTTCTAAATCTAAAGCTAAATAGTTACCTGTATTATCTTTCATTACCTTATGGATTTTGTACTCAAAGTTATTGTTCAGAAGAATAGTAACCCCACGAGAGTTGCCCCGAAAAGATGAGAAATACGAGTCAAAGCCCCACTCATTTCTGATTAATTCTTCATTTTCCTGCGTGAAATGTGTATCTTGTAAACAATAAATGTTTTCATTTGTTTCTCTTAAAAACGAAAAGACGTCCTTACGTTTTCCCCTATTTGATAGCCCCTGTACATTAGCCGAAGTGATTTTTATACTATCCACTAACTAGTAAAGTTAAGCAGTATAATTCTACCCGTGACCAAGAAGAAAAGGGAAGCCAGGTACAACTCAAAACAATATAGGAAAAGACAACTGTATATATAGCAAAATACAGCAACATTGATACGTACCTGTCAGTAGAGCTAGGGAGAAGGAAAGTATAAAGCGCAAAGACCAAATTAAAAAAACATTACAAGTTCAGAGTGTCTTGGAGTACTGTCCACCATAGCACCGTCACTTTCGCCGCACATGTTGAACACCGTTAAAAAAAAATAATTCCGGAAGTAGAGAAATATTAAGTCGGAAGCCGGAAAGAAAATTCCGGATTATGTAAAAATTATACGTACGTTTCTCTATATATACCATCAATATAATCTTTCAAGAGAGAATGTAGATAGAGAACAGAGTATAACGTAGTTAGACAAACGTTATCATGTTAGAGATCTGAACGTTTTGGAATTATTATTTTTAACGAAGATACACGTGTGCAAGTTACTTTTCTTACCTTACATACACCTTCCGTGTGATCCACTCAGCTTACTAATCCATACAGAAGTTTTTGTAATGAAAACACACCACATACATTTATAATTAGTAAAAAGAAATTACCAAGTCATATATATATCTAGATCGGTAAAATAGGGACTATAGTCCCTATCGGCAGTATAAAACTGCCTTACCAGTCCACACCGACCATAAGATAATCAGAACTAGTCTCTTGTACGGCCAAAATTCTCATCACACTTGAGGAAATCCTCATAGAGCGGGGTGTCTATGGAAATACAACGTTTCACACCGTTATCTAACACAACGAAAAGTTTTCCGTCCAGACTATAAGAGTTTTTAACATAGTCCAAGGAGTAGGCATCTCGTACCTTTTGCTGGTTTAGTCTTGTCAAGTCCTCAGACACAGTATATCCGGTTCCCTTCAGCTTCCTTCTGGATTTGATAATTTGATGTCTCTTACGTCTTCTGACAAATTTAACAATGACGTTTCGTGGTTTTGTTTTGGAAAATTTTCCCAGTCTGTGCGCAACGTCAATATCCTCACTACACAACGATACATTCAGTTTGTCGTTAACGAAAGTCACGATCTTTTCAACACATTCTTCTGCTGTCACTTTCGGGGAAATGTCTTCAAGTCCGGCTATCCTCAGGGAGTTTTTTCTGTCATGTTGCTCGAGGTCGTTGAGTTTAGTCTATAATTCCTTGTTGGAATTTTGTTGATCAGACAACTGTTTCTCAAGTAACCCTATCGTCAAAAATACCTTTTTTGAGATAAATGATATATTAATGTTCACTGACGCGTAATTATGTCCGGACTAATCTAAGATTATCAAAATGGAACGTTCATAGTATATATTGGTTTCTTATGTCAAGACATAAAGAAATGCAGGTACAAGACTAGGTAAAAATATATACATACCTTCATCTTGTATTTGTAGGTAATCATGTGTGACAACTAAAACCTCCTGGTTTCCTCTTTAGTGAAAATGGTAAAAAGTAGAGTTAATACCAACAAGTATGTGTACGATATGTGTCATTTGTGTTTGAATCGGAAAGTCACAATTCCAATACATTACGCTTAGAGTTGTAGCAATCAAATTCTCCACAGCGTCACGACAATGACATTCGCATAACAATGTATATTGTAAACAATCGTTATATTTCTTCATCTTTTTCATTCGAGGCGAATAATATTCGTTTTATGTCGATCGCAACATTCGCGGAAGTGAATCGCTCGTGAAAGGTCGTAACAGTATTTCGCTTAGCTAGTAAAAGGAAACAACTTTAGGCTTGCTGGTGACGTTCAAGGACAGAGAAAGGATGATTTTACTGGGCAATGATAAAGTATCAACAATGACTTGGAAATAATACATATTCTATTATGTATGATTGAGCTACAGGAGTAATGAGTGCGATACTAAAAATGATTCCTCTTCTTTCATTCTATTTATCTAGTTAAGTAAAGTAACAATTATACACCATTTGTTTATTTATTTCTATAATTACAACTTGATATTTATTCATATATACATTATCTTACCTGAGAAATAAGATGTTTTAATACTCCATCTTACTCTAGGAAATAAGATTTTTCAATACTCCATCTTACCGCAGAAATAAGATGTTTTAATACTCCATCTTACCTGAGAAATAAGATGTTTGAATACTCCATCTTACCGCAGAAATAAGATGTTTTAATACTCCATCTTACCGCAGCAATAAGAGTTTTAATACTAAGAAATAAGTTTTTAATACTCCATCTTACCGCAGAAATAAGATTGTTGTTTTAATACTCCATCTTACTCTAGGAAATAAGATTTTTCAATACTCCATCTTACCGCAGAAATAAGATGTTTTAATATTCCATCTTACTCTAGGAAATAAGATGTTTTAATACTCCATCTTACCGCAGAAATAAGATGTTTTAATACTCCATCTTACCACAGAAATAAGATGTTTTAATACTCCATCTTACTCTAGGAAATAAGATTTTTCAATACTCCATCTTACCGCAGAAATAAGATGTTTTAATACTCCATCTTACCTGAGAAATAAGATGTTTGAATACTCCATCTTACCGCAGAAATAAGATGTTTTAATACTCCATCTTACCGCAGAATTAAGATGTTTTAATACTCCATCTTACTCTAGGAAATAAGATGTTTTAATACTCCATCTTACTCTAGGAAATAAGATGTTTTAATACTCCATCTTACCGCAGAAATAAGATGTTTTAATACTCCATCTTACCGCAGAAATAAGATATTTTAATACTCCATCTTACCACAGAAATAAGATGTTTTAATACTCCATCTTACCTGGAAATAAGATGTTTTAATACTCCATCTTACTCTAGAGAAATAAGATGTTTTAATACTCCATCTTACTCTAGGAAATAAGATGATTTAATACTCCATCTTACTCTAGATAAGTTTTTAATACTCCATCTTACCGCAGAAATAAGATTACTCCGTCTTACCGCAGAAATAAGATGTTTTAATACTCCATTTTACCGCAGAAATAAGATGTTTTAATACTCCATCTTACTCTAGGAAATAAGATGTTTTAATACTCCATCTTACCTGAGAAATAAGATGTTTTAATACTCCACCTTACTCTAGGAAATAAGATGTTTTAATACTCCATCTTACCGCAGAAATAAGGTGTTTTAATACTCAATCTTACAGCAGAAATAAGATGTTCTAATACTCCATCTTACAGCAGAAATAAGATGTTTTAATACTCCATCTTACTCTAGGAAATAAGATATTTTAATACTCCATCTTACCTGAGAAATAAGATGTTTTAATACTCCATCTTACTCTAGGAAAGAAGATGTTTTAATACTCCATCTTACCTGAGAAATAAGATGGTTTAATACTACATTTGTAAATCGATTTCTGTGATTACCGCTTTTTGTTTATTCATATATAAAATATCTTACCTCGCACCTTCAATAACCGCTTCTTTATTTCCTGTGAAATGCAAAACAGGAAATATACGTTATAAAGCTTCATTGTAGGCAATAATCAATTTCAAAGGGTGACTTGAGACAGATACACAGTTTAATAAAAAAAAACAGGCTAATAGATATCAAATTTATAGGCAAAGTCATGGAACAATATAGATATTCAAAATGTAAAAGAAGAGAATAGACGAGACCACGTGGACTGCCGTCTTATATGAAATTATTCAATTATAGATCTCATATACCAAATCTACAATCTAATTATCATTAATTTCATAATGAACAAGCAGAAAATGAAATGTAAATACCCTTCGGAAGGCTTTCATATGGAGATGGACGGTTCATGTCACTCGGATCTAACTCCTGGTAATGTGATCTAGTTAAAAATTAATCAAAATATTTAATGCACTCTTATCGAAGACCTATTTTAAGCAACATTGTAAATCAACTTTGTAAATATAAGTCTAGGATTTTGTATGAACAACCCACTTTTGTGTTCTTGGAATAAGTTGGACTTAACATATTTGTTAATCGTGCTATGTCAAGTTTAACAGTTACAGGTAACATATAGAACAGTTACAGGTAACATATGGAACAGTTACAGGTAACATATAGAACATTTACAGGTAAAAAATAGGACAGTTACAGGTAAAAGATAGGATAGTTACACGAACCATATAGAACAGTTACAGGTAATGTATAGGACATGTATAGAACAGTTACAGGTAAAATATAGAACAGTTACAGGTAACATATAGAAAAGTTACAGGTAACATATAGAACAGTTACAGGTAAAAAAAATAGGACAGTTACAGGTAAAAAATAGGACAGTTACAGGTAACATATAGGACAGTTACAGGTAAAATATAGGACAGTTACAGGTAACATATAGAACAGTTACAGGTAACATATGGAACAGTTACAGGTAACATATAGAACAGTTACAGGTAACATATGGAACAGTTACAGGTAACATATAGAACAGTTACAGGTAACATATAGAACATTTACAGGTAAAAAATAGGACAGTTACAGGTAAAGAATAGGAAAGTTACAGGAACCATATAGAACAGTTACAGGTAATGTATAGGACATGTATAGAACAGTTACAGGTAAAATATAGAACAGTTACAGGTAACATATAGAACAGTTACAGGTAAAAAATAGGACAGTTACAGGTAAAAAAATAGGACAGTTACAGGTAAAAAATAGGACAGTTACAGATAACATATAGAACAGTTACAAGTAACATACAGTACAGTTATAGGTAACATACAGGACAGTTACATGTAACATATAGGCAGTTACAGATAACATATAGAACAGTTACAGGTAACATATAGAACAGTTACAGGTAAAAAATAGGACAGTTACAGGTAAAAAATAGGATAGTTACAGGAACCATATAGAACAGTTACAGGTAATGTATAGGACATGTATAGAACAGTTACAGGTAAAATATAGAACAGTTACAGGTAACATATAGAACAGTTACAGGTAACATATAGAACAGTTACAGGTAAAAAAATAGGACAGTTACAGGTAAAAAATAGGACAGTTACAGGTAACATATAGAACAGTTACAGGTAAAATATTGGACAGTTACAGGTAAAATATAGGACAGTTACAGGTAACATATAGAACAGTTACAGGTAATGTATAGGACAGTTACAGGTAACATATAGAACAGTTACAGGTAACATATAGAACAGCTACAAGTAACATATAGAACAGTCACAGGTAACATATAGAACAGCTACAGGTAACATATAGAACAGTCACAGGTAACATATAGAACAGTTACAGGTAATGTATAGGACAGTTACAGGTAACATAGAACAGTTAAATGTAAACTATACAACAGTAACAACTTACATAAAGGGCAGCTACAGGTAACATATAGAACAGTTACAGGTAACATATGGAACAGTTACAGGTAACATATAGAACAGTTACAGGTAACATATAGAACAGTTACAGGTAATATATAACACAGTTACAGGTAACATATATTAAATAGTTACAGGTAACCTTTGTTACAGTTACAGAAAACATACAGGGTAATTAAAGATAACATACAAGACAGGTAACATAAAGGACAATTGCATGTAATATATAGGACATTTACAGGTAATATATACAACAGCCACAGATAAACATATGTTGAATAGTTACAGATAACATATAGGAAATACGCAAGTAACAATTAAGAAAGCTATAAGTTACGAGTAACACATGCGACAGTAAAGTTCTGTCAAAGTTAAGAAAGAACAATGCATGATATTACATCCATACCCATGTACATTCATAAATAAATGAGTGAGGAATGGTATTACCTGGCACTTTCAATAACCACATCTTTATTTCCTGTGAAAATTTACAATTAAAAATATACATTATTTAGCTACACTTTATCTACTTATTGCTTTCAATCGGACGATGATATTCACTTTTATAGCAAGTACCTGATAAATGTAACCTTCGATTTTACAGACTTAGATTTATTCTTATAGATACTTAAGATGTTTCAAAATGTGAAAGCAAGAGAACACAATAGACCAAGTGGATTACCACCCACCATATATATATATCAATGATTTATCTATTTATCTCATGAACATTTATCAAACGGATAGGCTTGTAACGGCCAAAGAATTATCCTTATACAACATGAAAAGATATTTCGACTTGTTTGTAACGGACAGACAAAGAATTATACTCATAAGACATGACGAAATATTTAAACATTTAAATCAAGGAAACACACAGGACAATCTTCACCATTATTTTGTCTCATGTTAATTGACAATTTACATTGTGAAGTATTCTATTCAATTATCACTTATTTGATAATGAATAAAATCATTTGATATCGTTATAACTACCTTCCGCAAGGCTTTCATATGGGGACGGACGGTTGATGTCACTCAGCGTTAACTCCTGGTATTGTGACCCACTTAAACATTAACCAAAACATTACACGGATTTTTAAACGCCTGCTTAATCATCATATTCATTCAAGGACAACATGAGACTGTTAATCTTACTGCATTTTTGTTAACCATTTAATTCTATGAGTTCGTGTTGAAATATTTGATTAAAGCACAAAATTAAAGAATTATCTTAATATTTCAATTCTATTAAATGGAAAAATAAAAATTAAAACGTAAAAAATGTCATTTACTCATTCATGAAACGTGTATGCCATAGTTACTGGAACATCATACTTACCTGCAATTCATACTTGCTTCAGGTTTATCTGTATGGGAATCAAAACATATAAGTTATTCTTTTTTATTATTATTATTTCTGATTTTTCGTAAACTCATCAATCAATAAGCTTTCGTTTTCATCAGGACCTGGTCATTAAATTTCAATCGCTTTCATCGGTTTTCATCAAACTGAGTAACTTTGAAGTTATAAAAAAATATCAAACGCTTGCCTTCTATTGATTCTCGCACACTGCTGAAAACAACTGACTTCTCATTTTGGTTTTTCGATCTGAAATAGAATATATCATACATATGTCGAATACTCGGTGATGTGTTGCACTACACTAAACATGTCATGTTTAATGCATGTGCTAAATGGGTCATTTTGTTCTGTAGCTGTACAAAAAACATATCTTGCTATAACATGATATAACAAGCGCAACAAATATGATATATGCTATCAGGCAAGCTAAAAATAACCTGTTTTCTCTAAAATTTCACGGCCAATAAAATATTATACTTACCGTGAAAATGATCGTGACTTTTCTGAAACAAAATGATGATCATTAAATAATTTGCTCAAGACATTTCTGATATCATTTTAAGTGTACTGATTATTTACTAATTAATTTATTTACTTTCAAAGTTACATAAAAACATCTACAACAACCTTACTGGACACTTTATTCTAAATTTGATTAAATTACAGAGCATCAATATAAATTAAGTTATGATTCTTAGCATTAAGCGAACACGAAATAATGCATCATTTGGAGTGAAGTATGTGGACTTTCTTTTATATTAATTATTCTAAAAACATAATACGTTATAGATATAAATGGCATTGCTGAAACGTTTCACTTGAAAAAGCGTCCTTAAGATAAGACAACTGACTATGCGTTGGATACAAAATTGCAATATACCAGCAGAAAGATTTTCTACATTAATACTGATACTTGCTGTACAGAAAACCAGAAATTCCAAAAACTGCTGCTGCAATCAGGAGAAGGATCACACCAACTACTAATAAAGCTGTAGATCCAGAACTGGCGTATTCCAACGGAGAACGGCACGTGTCAGCTACAATAGTTATATACATTTAAATTGATAATATATTTTCATTTATGACATAACAGACTTTATTAATCTTACTACAATTGCGAATTAAGTTCTCCAACTCAAACATATAATCACTTATCTCTTTATTCTCAACAGCAGATTTAATCACCAGTGATATTATATCAGCATTAACTGTGATGAAACGAAATATCAATCTGGCAAATTAACTACTCAAAGCAAACCATCAACGACGACGACGACGACGACGACGACGATGATGATGTAATCACATTCGTTTACATGTAGTTCGTCAAGAACGTTTAAACGTCTTAAATCTTGCTGGTAATTATAAAGGCACGACTTTATGCATTGATAGCAACTTGGCCAGTTTATGTTGGAAATAGATATCTTATTTATATTTCAGAAACTAATATCTGTATTAATCACGGGACAAATATGACATAGATAATTGTTAGTATATTCTTAAATAGTTCTGAGACATTACATGGTTTTTTAGTATCGTTGTTTTAAATGATGATGATGATGATGATGATGATGATGATGATGATGATGATGATGATGCTGCTGCTGCTGCTGCTGCTGCTGATGATGATGATGATGACGATGATGATGATGAATTATTGTTGATAATTCTAAAAATTCACACTAATTGTTAATGAATTACTTATTGTGCCTTATTCAGGCGATGAAGGAAGTCAATATTTTATAAATACGATACAAGTATAAGGTACCTGGGGATGTTGATACTATGAGTTCCAAAGGACTGCTTGTCCCGGCCATGTTGATCGCTTTAATATTTACATAGTACTGGGATTTAGGGACTAAGTTGGTTAAGGTATATGAATAGATGTCTTCATCCGTCAGGTCAACAGCAGCTGATCCTAATACAGAACAGCCTTTACATCCGTGGGTGATATTAAATATGTTGGTCATAGCTCCCTTGTCGCTAGGTGTCCATTTCACAGTGAGTGTTGATGACGTCACATCCGTAAATCCAACGATGTTTGGTGAGGGTGGTGACGCTGAAATCGTATCAATATTTAATATCTTCCAGGTACAACAAACTCTACAGATATATATTTTTTTAATTTTGAATTAAGTATCATTAAATTATATTATTCAACACATCGGTCGAGGTTAAATCGACTGATAGGTCTTACAGTAGGAGGAAAACAAAAGTGATGAAATAAAATAATGCATGTGTTTTGGCAGGGAATCGAACCCCGGTCGTCTATGTGGAAGGCAACTGCATAGCCGCAGAGCCCTCAATCATCCACTATATCTTGGTGTCTGGATCTAAAATATGGGAATATAGAATGTTGCGACTACAATGACAAACAAATGCCGTATATATACTCAGTACGAAAAACAAAGCGATGATGACCCAAGTTTTCGGCATGACATTTTAAAAGGTTTCATGGCTTTACAACATACAGATTACAATTGATACTCACTTAAAACTTTCAGGGTGATATTTGACGTCGTGGTACCGATGGCATTCATTGCAGAGCACGTGTATACCCCAGCATGGTCCTGTGTGATGACGGGGAGTCTGTAAACACCGCTGTCGGATACCATTGAAGCTTCTCTTGTCCAAACCAGGGACGTGACACGGGGGTTAGCGGAGGTAGTCACGCATGTCAAGGTCACATTCTTTTGACCTTCAGTGATGACGTATGGGTCATCGATCGGTGATACCAAAATGGCAGGGATATCTTAATCCTACGAAATAGAAATAATTTCGAAAAGTATAGTTATTCCATTTTATACCTTTCCAGCTATAACTACACGAAAAATTCGAGAAAAAAGTTATTCACCTTGTCATTTTTATTACTTTTGTTATTCTTTCCTTTCATTTTTGGTTATCTTTTTCTTAAACCCACACAAATTTATTCTTGGCTAGCACCCAAGCCGAAACTTATAGATGAATAAATATTTTCCAATTTGTCTTGCAATACTTACGTTGTATGTTGAGTGCCGGACGTCGTGTTGCCTGTGTCTGTTCGTCTGTGTTGAAGGCATAACACACCACTGTGTGTCCAGTCATGTTTCGTTCTGGCGTGAAGGTCAGCGTACTTGTGGTAATGTAAAGGTCACCGGACACATTCTGTACTGTGGATACACTTTGGGAAGTGTAGTTTACACCTCCAATGGACCATAAGACGCTGGCAAAGGGTCTACATTCGCTGGTCACACATGTCAGGACAGTGGACAGGTTCTCTGTGACGTCAACAGACTGACCAACGCGTGGATGTAGTTCTACACTTGCCACGGGTACTGTAACAAAAACATGGGTATGCAACATGGACGTATTAATGTGTATAATAACAGATAACACAGTGATTGTGGAAGTTTTTTTTATTGGGCAAACATGCTAAATGAAATATTTGTTTCACAGAGTTCTAAGTTGATACCTGTTGATTTTTCAGTTGGTTTCTTTGTTGTATACCTTGTTCTCATTTGAGAACGTGACATTACTAACTTGGATTGACCAAGATTTACGTGGCGGACGTCGGCGATAAAACAGACACTTTTGGAACACTTGATTTATCTCATTTGTACGCCCTCAGGAGGCTCCGTGTAAATGTGTCCATATTTGCCTAGTTTTATAGAATTTGAGTTTGGATTATGATTACGTTGACATGCTGGTATTTTTGTTGTTGTTGGTTTTTTTTGTTGAATACTTGCTTATGACAACCACGACCAGTGTGTTGCTGACTTGAGCCCTGGGGTTGTTTATCTGGCATCTGAGCCGTGCATTGTTCCAATCCCCGGTCACATTAACCACTGTCCAAGAGTATGATCTCCCGTCCGTTGTGCAGGAACAATGCTGGTTACAGACTTGGCCATTACCACTAGTACAGTCACTCCCCGACAACTGTACAAACCCAACAATTGTACCGTTTTGGAAGTTAAACGAGGCGTACACGGAGCTGTTCTGTGATATAGAACATGTCAGCGTCAATGACGAGCCCTCTGTGACTGATGAAGGTGACGATGTCAATTTCACGTCGTTACCTTAAACAGTGAAACAGAAATGTGTTCACAACACTCAGTGCAAACAGTAGGAACATATAAATGGATAATAACAATGTCAATGAAAGGGTTATGGCACATGTTAAATAGGACAATGAAATGGCAGTTTCATGTAAAGCGACAGTGTGCTAATACGAATGTATATGAATAGTGATAAAAAAAAAAACGAAAAAACAAAAATTGTGAAAATGTCACTTATCAACAATGTTAAAAAATCGAAATCGTTTAAGGCATGAAATGCTACCACAGCTTATATATGAATTCATTAAAAATCAATATTTGATTAAATTAATATGCACGCATATTTTGTATAACATATATAAGACCTAAAACCTTTCTAAAATGGTACTACAACAGCTGACTTTATCACAAATGTTACTTGATATTAGAAAATCAACATCCATCATGAAATACAGCTGGGGTATGTCTTGGTTATAGTTCGTCTCGTGACCTGCACTAAATTTTATGATCGTATTTAAACAGAGAAAAAAATCGGCCTTGTTTCTTAAACTCTTAAAGATTGAAAGATGCATGTGTATATTCAGGTACGTAAGGTTACATATTTATTCCTGACAAAATACCGTTTAGATGTTTAGCGGAGAATAAAAGAGAATTATTTCATTTTTGTTATTTGGAAAAAATTTAATTACAGAGATAAGAATATCTTAAAATATTGTATAGACCTGTGGAATATCATTGTTATTCATACTACAAACATTTAAAAGTATTTATATCATTAATGATAGTCTTTATTCCAACATACATTATATTTTCTAGTCTGTTAAGTTTGGGATGTGAAACGTATTCAAATGTTTCAGTGAAAATCGTGTAATGAAAGTTTGAAATTGTTATCAATTCGATTCAGTAATTGTAGTACATATTAAGGTGATATAAAGTATGTATGTGCCTCATCTTGTTTGCTACAAACAAACAGAGGGTATGAACTTGTGTTATGAAAATACAATTTTCGAAAAAAGTTGAAACAGAAGCTAGGTATAAATAAGACAAGTATTTGCACTCCAACATTTCCAGTCTTAGTTTAAGATCAGCTGCTCCGAATGGTAACTTTATTTACCTAATTGAAAATACGCCGCGGATGAATACATATATAATATTTTATTGATAAATCCAAGTCATGTTCCAAGACCAAGTTAGACTTAACTAATTCACGTGGCACACTGACAAGTATTTGTACAAGTATATATACTACACAACAAGGAATATATCTTGATATGGTCGTGAATAAGACAATATATATGTTCGTTGTCTTCATCAAACAATGTCTTTCGAAATTCTATATAACAATTAAGCCTGTTGATAGTCAATATCAAAGAAAAGGCATTCGTGATATGTGAATGAGTCAGATGTTCTATTTGGAATCAAGAGGATTGCTGTACTTAGTGAAGACGTTTGAAGTCAAATGAACTATGTGAACATTAAAAGTTACAATCGTGAGCTTAAAGGAAGATAAAGCACAATCACAAAATAGTATCCGTTTGGGTTATGTAAAGATTCTTTATACACAACCAGGAATTTTAATATGTGACGTTTCGGTGACCAGTACGATCCGTACGCTGTCACCTTCCTCAGACAAATGACCAGTAAAGCATGTACACAAAGGTGTGATATGTGTACGAGTTGTCGTGGAATAGCGTCGATTTCGGACATGCTGACAAGTGCCGAAATGCACATGCTTTACTGGTCATTTGTCTGAGGAAGGTGACAGCGTACGGATCGTACTAGTCACCGCAACGTCACATATTAAAATTCCTGGTTGTGTATAAAGAATCTTTACATAATCCTTACTTTCCAACCTGACGAAAATGTTCAGTAGTATCCGTTTGGGTATTTGTGTATGACAGGATGTGTAGAGATTTTACTTTTGGGTATTTGTGTATGGCATGTGGTGTGGTGTTTGTATTTTTGGGGTATTTGTGTATGACATGAGGTGTGGAGTTTGTATTTTTGGGGTATTTGTGTATGACATGAGGTGTGGAGTTTGTATTTTTGGGGTATTTGTGTATGACATGAGGTGTGGAGTTTGTATTTTTGGGGTATTTGTGTATGACATGAGGTATGGTGTTTGTATTTTTGGGGTATTTGTGTATGACATGAGGTATGGTGTTTGTATTTTTGGAGTATTTGTGTATGACATGAGGTGTGGAGTTTGTATTTTTGGAGTATTTGTGTATGACATGAGGTGTGGAGTTTGTATTTTTGGGGTATTTGTGTATGACATGAGGTGTGGTGTTTGTATTTCTGAGGTATCTGTGTATGACATGAGGTGTGGTGTTTGTATTTTAGGGTATTTGTGGTGTGGTGTTTGTATTTTGGTTATTTGTGTATGACATGAGGTGTGGTGTTTGTATTTCTGAGGTATTTGTGTATGACATGAGGTATGGAGTTTGTATTTTGGTTATTTGTGTATGACATGAGGTGTGGAGTTTGTATTTTTGGGGTATTTGTGTATGACATGAGGTGTTGTGTTTGTATTTCTGAGGTATTTGTGTATGACATGAGGTGTGGAGTTTGTATTTCTGAGGTATTTGTGTATGACATGAGGTGTGGAGTTTGTATGTTAGGGTATTTTTGTATGGTATGTGGTGTGGTGTTTGTATTTTGGTTATTTGTGTATGACATGAGGTGTGGTGTTTGTATTTCTGAGGTATTTGTGTATGACATGAGGTATGGAGTTTGTATTTTGGTTATTTGTGTATGACATGAGGTGTGGAGTTTGTATTTCTGAGGTATTTGTGTATGACATGAGCTGTGGAGTTTGTATTTTTGGGGTATTTGTGTATGACATGAGGTGTTGTGTTTGTATTTCTGAGGTATTTGTGTATGACATGAGGTGTGGAGTTTGTATTTTTGGGTATTTGTGTATGACAGGAGGTGTGGTGTTTGTATTTTTGGGGTATTTGAGTATGACATGAGGTATGGTGTTTGTATTTTTGGGGTATTTGTGTATGACATGAGGTGTGGAGTTTGTATGTTAGGGTATTTGTGTATGACATGAGGTATGGTGTTTGTATTTTTGGGGTATTTGTGTATGACATGAGGTGTGGTGTTTGTATTTTTGGGATATTTGTGTATGACATGAGGTGTGGAGTTTGTATTTCTGAGGTATTTGTGTATGACATGAGGTGTGGAGTTTGTATTTCTGAGGTATTTGTGTATGACATGAGGTGTGGAGTTTGTATTTCTGAGGTATTTGTGTATGACATGAGGTGTGGAGTTTGTATTTTTGGGGTATTTGTGTATGACATGAGGTGTGGTTTGTATTTCTGAGTTTGTGTATGACATTGGAGTTTGTATTTTTGGGTATTTGTGTATGACAGGAGGTGTGGTGTTTGTATTTTTGGGGTATTTGTGTATGACATGGGGTATGGTGTTTGCATTTTTGGGGTATTTGTGTATGACATGAGGTGTGGAGTTTGTATTTTTGGGATATTTGTGTATGACATGAGGTGTGGAGTTTGTATTTTTGGGGTATTTGTGTATGACATTATGTGTGGAGTTTGTATTTTTGGAATATTTGTGTATGACATGAGGTGTGGAGTTTGTATGTTAGGGTATTTGTGTATGACATGAGGTAGGGTGTTTGTATTTTGGTTATTTGTGTATGACATGAGGTGTGGAGTTTGTATTTCTGAGGTATTTGTGTATGACATGAGGTGTGGAGTTTGTATTTTGGTTATTTGTGTATGACATGAGGTGTGGAGTTTGTATTTCTGAGGTATTTGTGTATGACATGAGGTGTGGAGTTTGTATTTTTGGGGTATTTGTGTATGACATGAGGTGTGGAGTTTGTATTTCTGAGGTATTTGTGTATGACATGAGGTGTTGTGTTTGTATTTTTGGGATATTTGTGTATGACATGAGGTGTGGAGTTTGTATTTCTGAGGTATTTGTGTATGACATGAGGTGTGGAGTTTGTATTTTTGGGGTATTTGTGTATGACATGAGGTGTTGTGTTTGTATTTTTGAGGTATTTGTGTATGACATGAGGTG